GTCCTGGGAAACCCCAAGTTAGAAGGCAAGCCGCTGATTTACCAGTCAGAATAGACCAATTTACCGTACAACATTGTAATTGCCTCTTAGGTTGGGTGTTGTGTCTACAATTATAATCCCTCTCTTGCTTTCTGGCTTCTTATTTTAGGAGTCGGTGTACAGATATGATCATACAGAGCATTTCTTTTAGTAATGATGACCCCTAAAAAGTCCTCTAATATGTGCATCTAATGTTAATGTTAGTAATTGGTATGTATTAAGGTGTGTTGAATGTGTAAAAGTTACTATTTGTTTAAAATTAATGAAAATATTATGATTTGTACAAACATGAGTCTATATATAAGTTCGTTTTTTAAACTAGATATCAATTTGTGTGTTTGATGGGAGGATAAAAGTATAGAGAGAGGGATTCCTGCCTGACCAAAAACATGGTTTTGCACAAACTGCATGTTGTAATGTTACACCGTGTTATTAACTCGTCATTAAATTTGAGTGAGCAAACTGTTCGGGAAGAATAAATAAACTTGCAACATTTTACACTCAGCAAATGAGAACGAAAATCCTGTGCAAGCTTCCTGATATCCACTCAAATCTGCCCCATTTCATTACAGTTCTGGATGTGTTCAGAGTAATAAAAAGAAATAAATAAACGTTTGTCTTTAATTCACCTGCAGAGATGAACCACAAGATGCTGGATTTTGAGCAGTTCCTGCCCATGCTTCAGGCCATTGCTAAGAACAAGGACCAGGGCTCATTTGAGGATATCGTAGAGGGTCTGCGTGTCTTTGACAAAGAGGGCAATGGTACAGTGATGGGAGCAGAGCTACGTCATGTTCTCACTACACTAGGCAAGTCCACAAAAACATGCAAAACACAAAGATTTGTCATTAATCCTTATCTAATCTAATCACAGCTGACCTTTGTCTTCCTATCATGCATATCTTAAGTTAAATCCCTTCAGTCCGTTATCTGTAACAGGAACAATGTAAACATGTGTGTTATTTCCTCTGTCAGCAGTCTTAAAATACTTAGTGATTGTTCTTTGTGTCACAGGCGAGAAAATGACAGAGGAGGAGGTGGAGACCCTTTTAGCGGGGCACGAAGACGCCAATGGCTGTATTAACTATGAAGGTAAAACTGCACAGTATGTGGAAAGATGTACCCGTAAAGCTAAACAACAGTATCAAGCACTGTGCTGTGACACTGATGTTGTTGATGTAGAAAACAAGAGTCATTGTGTCTTTGTGTCACATGCTCACTGACTCAGTGTTCCCGTCTCAAAGCATTTGTCCGACACAACACGTAGAGTATGAGCAGACGGCCCTCCAGCTCAGAAGCTGACCGCTGCACAGGGGCCTCACCTTCATCTAGATAGCGACTGAAGAGGGGAGATGGTTCTTAAACACGTCTGAACATGCAGTGGGAGTGCAGTGTAGCAGTTGTAGTAACTTTCCTATACACAAAAGATGGCTGGTTGAGTTCCATCAACATTAAGTCAGCTAGAGTCACTCACCCATGTGTCCTGTTAAAGGTGAAAGCCAAATGAGCAAAATAAAACACACCATTAAGCATGACCTGAACAGTAAATCAACAATTGCCTTTGCAATTAGAAAACTTAAAACAACTTTCATAGTAGCCTCTGACTGGTGCTGTTCTCTGATATTTAATACTCTGACTTCTTGCCTGCTTTCATCTGACCTTCTTCAGATTTAGTGCTGATATTGTCTTCCTCCCTCTCTCTCATGACAGAGCTCGTCCGGATGGTGATGAGCGGTTGAAGATCTCAGAAACACACTTCCAGCTTTAATTTGATTTCCTAAATATTTTTGTATTGTTTGTCTCATCCTGCCCCTCCATCCATGTCATCCTACCATCCTATCTCCAAGTCTGTGTTTTCTTTTTCTTTATTTTATTTCAAAAGTGCCTTTTCTGTCTAATGTGAAGAAACCCTTTCATCTCATTTTCCAAACATTATTCAGCCTCGCAGGTACAATTGGCAGTAACGTTCCCCTGATGATTTCACCGGTTCCATCTTTGTCAGTCAGCCCGTCAGTCTTGTTGTCAACAGCTTTTTTTCCATTTGGATGGATATGATGAGACTGATGTGACATGTTACATTTAACAGTGTTGAATAAAAAGTTTGTGTTCAATGAGTCTTCTGCTTAAATCAAATACTGTATCTCTTTTTGGATTATAGATCACATTAAAAACATTGGATTAGAAAAATATCAATATCAGTAAAATAGGAGAAAAGTATAATTTATATATCTGTAAAATATTAGTAAAACATGATTGAAATGATTTGTTATAATCATGGACGTTGCATGCAATGTCCTTTTATATCAAAGGAAAATTGCACTGATATGAGAAAATAAAACAAAGCAGACTTTACACATTCAACAAAAAATTTAATTATAAATTGTATAAAGAATAAAATTGGTCTCTATCCAGTAAATTAAATGTATTATTTAAATACAGTGACTTAAATCTGTGATAAATAGTAATTAACAACTATTAGAATAATTGAGATGGCAATTTAAACTGATAAAACATTAAGTTAAGTCCACTTACTCACTTGTCCTGGAGCTTTCCAGCGTATCACATGGTTCTCATAAGTTGGAAATTACTCAGTTCTAAAGTCAAAGTCAATTTAAAATTATTTTGCAGGTTGTGTATGTTGCGACGCTGTGAGGGTAAATTGAAACAGTCAAGTTGTGGGTCAAACAGCTAAACAAAGAGCTGAAACTCTAAAACTGAAGCAGCTAAATGGAATTCATCCATCATTAATGTTATTATTTACACCTGTGATTTCCCTTCTGTGATAACGAATGATCTGTTGATAGTAGATACACTGCAGGAAGCACAGCATGTCCAGAGCAAACCCTTGTAAAAAATATACAAAAAAATAAGACTCCTGAATTAGATTCCACCTACACTTGGTAGTTCCATAACAAGAACAGTGTGATACACCTTTAAATCTCTGTTCTTCAGCATCCTGCCAAACTCGTAATCCAGTTTATTAATCTGTAGATTTACCGTCTGGTGTTTGTGTTCCCAGTCTGTGAAGTTGTTGACGACAAAACAAACCACTCCACACAACGACTCCTCTTCACATCTTTATTTTTTCCCCCAACATTTTGTAATTAAAACCTGAACCTCTTTTGTTTAGCCTTTTTTTCAATACAAACTGCCAGAGTAACTGTCAGCACTAATGTGATGATTTACTGAGGAAAAAATTGATTTCTACTGTATAATAATAATCAATGCAACTGCTGCTACCTTCAGCATAGTGAAAAACATACAGAAACTGAACAGACACTTATTTCATATCACAAAATCCACACAATGTAGTAATAACACAGATAAAAGAAGTCCATTTATGCTCACAGCTGTGGTGAGCTCTGCAATACTGGCTTGACGGACATTAACTGTAAAGTTTCACCATCTGACTGGATTATATTTTATGACACCTGACTGCCGTTTGCAGAACGGAGCATGTTTTTTTTTTTTTAATTCTTCAAACTTTGTGACACAGCAAATGGCACTGAAAATAAAACTGAACGGTAATGTGGTTTACAGATCTTAATGGCATGCGTTCACATACACACATGCTCACAGTCACATCTCGGGCAGATCCGACGGACCAGCCCGAATCATACACAACAGTGGAGAGGGTAAATATAGGCTACAAAGGTAATAATATACAGTTACAATGTTGACATATCAAAGAAAGAAGATGGAAAAATGGACAGTAAAAAATAGAAAAATCGATAGGATAAAAAGTGAGGATATTGTTGCAGATATTAAGGACACAATTCTCCATCGTCAGCTGTTTAAGGTGCGAGCTCCCTTGTTTTTTTTGACAGCTTTAACATTTCTTCCATGTGTAACTTGAAATGCACCAGCGAAAAAACAAGCTGCTTAAAAAAAAAATCCTCTTAATTTCCCAAGCAACCGCAATAAAACTCACTGAATAAATGTGAGATAAACATGATTATAAAAAACATTTTGGTTTAGCAAGTAACACAAAATCAAATTATGGATAAAACACATATGTGGTCGCTGGTGGAATTCTTATTCCCAGACCTTCTTTTTCAGTCATTCCTTCTGGACCAAACTACATTCCTCACAAAACTACAACCTGGATGCTTTGAGTTCATCCAGACTTGCAAAACATGAAGCTCCTCGCTGACATGTCTTTTTCTCTAAGTGCTGTTGAAAGGAGGGACATTATTAAGATATATTTAAAGAGAAGTTTTTTCAGGATGATAATCTCATGCTGTCAGCACTTAATACTCTCATTGTTTGTAACAGAAAATCCAGTTTACAGTACATTTTCTCAAACTGCATCCAGACCAACTCATTGTAATTTCCATCTGGCTTATGATTTGAACGTCTTCATTCACTACAGACATTTCTCTAGAGGGAAAGGTTGGTTTTCAGACATGTGACCTTCGGGCCAGACCCTGTAGAGTGACCATTTGTCCATGTGATACAGATAAAAATAGAGGAAAAAGTGATATTCCCAATCAAGTTTTCAAAAACCTTCAGTATGAAAAAGTATTTAAGACAACAAAACGACGATATAAGTGCTAAAGTTCGATTTCATGGATGCTTCAAGTCTTTCGATGAGACCTAGGGAAACATGTTAAAAGTGCATTTTTTTTGTTACATATATTTTAGTTAGTACCTACAGTACAAGGGGGGAGAATATGAAGCATGAGACTTCATGAGCTGTGACAAACTGTTGCAGGAAAATAAAAGCAACAATTTCCAAAACACTGAAAACACAAGATGAGTCTTTTCTCTTCTTCTCCTTGAGTGCCAGCATGTTGGTAAGACCCTCTTAGTTTATTAGATCTCTGATGTTAAGCTTAAAAATATGAGATGTTGATGTCCACGAAGCATGAACAGCTTCTGTTTTCTTCATCGGCGGAGTCAATTGGAAAGGGACTTCTTTTTCAATACAAAGTCAAACTAGAGGTGGATTGATTTAGACGGTATAATTTTTTTTCTTCCTCACATCAATTGTCATTTTTGAAAAAAAAAAAAAAACTAAAAAAACAAAAACAACTAAAAAACGAATCATGTAAAATGTGTTCTCTTCATTTTAGACTTCTTCATTTTAGATGGTACAGGCAGGATTCAAAGTGGTCAGTCATTCTTGGGCAATTTGTTTTTCTCTCACTGTGGAGGCGGGACTGGAGCTGAGGGGTGGAGTGTTTCCCCAGGAAGAGGGGCAGTGGGCTCTGTGAGGGGTGAAACAGTGGAAGGGGAGAAAAATGTTAAGAATTTGAACAACTTGGAAGCTGTCTGGTTTTAGGATATAAAATGTTCTCCTTGTTTTGAGACCTCAGGTGGATTAACTGGAAGAAGGAATTCAAATAAACCTGATAATAGTGAATGTGTCAAGAATGTAGATATTGTATTACATGGGACTCATTAATTAACTGCATTATTGTCTAGCCTGTTCAATACACTCGCCAAATTTTTGTTAAATTATATTGATTTAAATATTTGATGATTGAGTATTTATTAATCAGATCTAAGAGCTAAAAAAAAGGTAGCATACAAATATATTAAAATAATTCATGTATGATCTCCTTCCAGGTCATCAAAATTAAGGATTTGCTGCTTTTCCCTGTTTTTATATCATTGTACTTTGAAAATATTTGGGTTTTGGATTATTAGTCAGTCAGTTATATGTTAACATGACATAACATCAAACAAACACAAAATCCTGTCAGTATCATAACATTAACACCATTTAAAGCTCCAACTCACCATTGAGTACCGGAGTAGTGCTGGAGCTGGAGCTGGAGTGTGCAGCTGGGGTCGGGCCTGGGGGGCCGGGGGGCGAGGTGTGAGCACTCTGAGGTGGTTGGGACTCAGGAGCTGGGGCAGAAGAGGCTGGAGGCGCGGGGCTTGGGGCCGGCTGCGGCGCTGGTGTGCTGGGAGCTGGCTGAGTTGCGGTCGGGCCCTGGGGTGGCGGGGCTGAGGTGGCCTGGTTGGAATGAGGGCCCCCGGCCTGGTTGTGCTGCTGGTGCTGAATCTGCTGGAAGTGCTGCTGGCGGGCCCTCATCTCAGCGTACTTCAACTGCTCCATGTGGAAGGACTGACGGTCAGCCAACAGCTGCTGACGCTGGTACTCCAGCTACACACACACACACACAAACACACACAAAGATAAAATGTTAAAGGTTTTGTTCTGTAATTAAGTTGACTGCTGTCTTGTGATACTACATATCCCAGAATCCCTCACTCACAGCCTCCCTCTCTCTGTCCATGATGGTTTCCAGTTCTTCAAAGTGTCGCAGTTTAATCTCCAGCTTCTTCATTTGGGTCTCCACCAGCAGAGCCACAAGAGATTTGATCTTCCTCTCTTCCACTGCGGCCAGGTGCTACGAAGAAAGCGAGGGAGAAACTTTAGAGAAAAAACATGAAGGTGATGGAGGATGAAGCAAGTTGAGGTCCAGGAATAGTTAACTTTACCTTGGCTTTGACAGCAGCAGCAGCGAGCGCTGACGCAGCAGCAGTGGCCAGGTTCCCCTCCCCCACATCGCGCTCCACCTTCGCCTTCCTTTCTCCTTCACTCTCTGCTTCTCTTTGTCCTTCCTCTGTGCCCTCTTTTCCATCCTTCTCCTTTTCCCCATCGCCTAAGAAAGAAAGAACATTTTTTTTTCTCCACCTCTAACACACTGTATGTCCTGTATCTGACTGAGAGGCATTTTCTCGTACCCATCTCGGACTCTATTTTGTCTGCCTCCCTCTCCCCTTCTTGTTCTCTTCCTCTTTCTTCTTCCTTCTTCCCATTCTCCGCCTGCTTTTCCTCTTCCTCAATCGCTCCTTCTTTGCTGTCCTGTGTGGGAAAGTAAACGCGGCACAATGAGCTTCGCAGCAGAGCTCACATATAAAGAAAGCTTATATTGGAATGAACATGCACCATACCTTGGCCTCCCTCTTCTCTTCATTTGATTGGCTGTCACTCTTATTTTCATCGCTGTTTTCCTCTACAGAGAAAACAAATCAGAACATTTTATTTGCTTTTACTTTTTTATCATTCTTTTTAAATCTTATTTTAGTTCTCTGCAATAGAACGGTATTTTTGTCTCATGCGTTTTTGCACACTGTATGTATGCTGTATGTGTGCGTCCATCCTACCAGGTCTGTCTCCCTCCTCGAGGCCAGTGCCTGCGATGCCACTACCCTCCAGGCCGTACAGCGGGTCCTGTCGCCCACTGACCCTCGCCGCCTCCTCCACCCGCCGCACATGAGCCTCAACAAGCGCTGCAGGAACCTCTTCCTTCATACGAGAAAACTCCTCTGAGAAGGACAAAAATGCATCAAGGTTATCACTTCAAAGCAAATGATGTAACGTGGGTTGTTGATGCTCCTAATATCCAATTTGGGTTGTGCTGTGAAAGTAGTCCATAACAACTGCTCCCTCATTGAGCTCTGATCAAAGAAAACATGTATTTTTCAATAATGAAACTGCATTCATTTTGCATTCAAAGCTCAATTCAATCATACCTCAATCTTCCTCTAAGAGCTAGCTATTAGCTCAGGTCCATACTGTACTTTGTGTGTGGTAGTAAATAATGCTGAGGCTGTTTTCAGTGTACAGTAAATTCAAAATAAGCTACTTCTCACCCAGAGCAGATTTTGCTGCAGCCGAGGCTACGCGCGGGTCGACAACAGAGGCGAGGAAGGCCACCGTGCTCATGACGGGGTTTCCTGCTTGGCTGAAAGGTATCGGCTGGTAGGCCAGAGGTCCCATGGATGAGGAGTTGTCCTCCAAGTAAGGGTCTTCGATGGGCAGCCGCAGGAAATGCAGGATGCACTCATCCTGCGTACGGCTGCCCACGTGTTCTGAAACCTTGTTCCAGTCGTCCTTGTACATCTCCAGGCCCTGTTGGAAGTGAGGGCAACATTTAGCTCTGCATTTCTGCTTATTTATTTACAAAAGGACTTGTCAGCATCATCACACAGTTGTTTTTAAAGGACGTGTACCTCAAGTAGTAGTAGTGTTTCTTGTTCTGTCCAATCCCTCATAGAACTCGCTGTACTCTTGCTCTGTGCACAAATATCACCACCACCTTGTTAATATGGCAGATCATAGTAAATGACAGCAAAAGAGTCATTCTGTCATGCATCTTCTCAGACTTTTACCTTTGCAGAGCTGGTCTTCTTGCTGTACATGTCTGTCCGCAGCCCAAAGTTTTGCAGATCTGCTGGTTTTTCCTTCACTTTATCTGGGAAGGACATCATCTGCTGGGTAGCAGGGGTCTATGGGTACACAATGACAAAGGGGCACATGTAAAATAACCCAGAATATGTGTGTCTATTTGTCTGTGTGTGTTTGTGTGTATGTGGACCTGGGACGTCTTGGGCTGCAGGGGCACCAGGCTGGATGGAGTGTCTGCCAGGACATGGAAGTGAGAGGTGGGCGGGGGACCCATGGGTGTGGGCCGGCTCTCAGAGTCCACCTGGTAGTTGATCAGACCCCACTGCTCCAGGAAGGCGTGGACTCTGCAGCAGAAGGACAGAGTATAACTCACTGACAGAAGTTGGACCAGAACAAGTTTAAAACAGATTAAAACTCTGGATTGACTGGAAACATTCCCATTCCACCTCCACCTACCTCATGATTGCACACACGTCTCCTGCCAGGTTCCTGCGGCAGGCGGTGGAGGTCAAGTACTCCTGAGGGTTCAGTCGGTAGGTGTCAATCATGAAGTTTCTGTACGCCAGGTAACTGAAAGACAGCGATGCAAAGACAAGTGAGATATTTCTACTACGACTTACTGTTGTACCATATGTGATGGCTTTTTAAATGTGTCTATTTAAATAGCTGTAATAAAAACACCTAATATTGTGTTGTGTACTGATTAAATACTTACATCTCAGGGGTTTTGGATTTGTTCTTCCCATTAAAAAACTCTGGCAGGGCTCTGCGCTCAATGGCATGAACACTGGGGGAAAATAATTATGACATTACTCACAGCTGAAATACATCTGAATGACTCATTTTGACTTCTGGAGTCACATCACAGGTTTTCATTTCAACCTAAATTGACACCAGCTGACCATTGAGTCTTTTCACATATAAATACTCACTCAATCACTGACATCTCAAAAACTAGATTACGGAATACTGATAATAATAATCATTTTTTTCTTACCTGTTGTAGTCAAACCAGGCAGCGTAGCTCGGAATAATAATGTGATGAGTTTGCTCAGTCACGTTGTCTTCGTGAAGGTCCGAGCCTTTCACTGGTTCACCCTTCACGCTCGGAGAGCCTTCCTCCTCCTCCTGTTCCAACACAAACACACACTCGGGATGATATATGGGTTTACTGTCCTCCTCACTGTAATAGTTTCTTGCACTTCTCACAAACTATCTCACCTTGCCAGTTGTTTCCATGGACTCATCCTCTTGCTCGTCTGTTCAAATCACAAAAGATTGGTATGTGAATAAAAAAAGGGAAGAGCGGAGAGGCATATTGTCGATATATTCAGTGAACACACTTAATAAAAGGTCAATAGATTAACACTCAAAATCAATTCAGTAATACGCCATATTTGATAAATAGAAAAACTTTCTGCTAACCCAAATCTGTTCCTCCCTTGACTGGAGTAGAATCAGATTCCTTCTTGGTGTTATCTGCAATAAGAAAGTATAATGCCAACAACTTCTTTAAAGTCCTAAAAGATGACAGCTGAGGGTCATTTTAATGGTCATCCAATGTTGGAGTTGGTTATTATATTTATATTTTAAATATATGTACTTGTCTTAGCTGGGTTTCCCTCTTCAGATGCTGGAACAGGTGACGCTTCATCCAAGTCCTTACTAAGATCCTCCTGTTCCTCCTCTCTCTGCCCCCGTTTAGACTTAGTGTACGGGGTTGTTGGCCTGTCCCCACACACACACACACACAAGACATTATTTCACTATATTGCATAATGTCTTCTTCTATTCTACAACAAACAACTAAAGCAACAGATCATTCTTTAGCTGATTAGTTACATCAGATATGTCTTGTTACAAACCCTTTTTTGGTGTTCTTCTTCTTGCTCTCCTGAGGCGGAGGGGTGGGAGAGGGTGACGGCGAGCGCTTCCTCTTCTTGGCACTGCCAGGCTTCTTGTCCCTCCGCTCGTCGGGCGTGGTCACCTCATCTGTCAGGGTCTTGGCTGAGATCCTCTTCCTCTTAGGGCAGCCCTCGCCCACTTCATAGTCCTCCTCGTTCATCCACTCGTTATACTGGTCCAGGTCTAAAATCCACTTGGCATGGACCTGTCAACAAAGAACATACAATGTATGACTGATAGTGAAATGTTTTCAGGAAGCATGTCAACCATCTGAGTGAAAGGTCACCAGCCTATTCCACTGTTAAACCAGGCAGTGCTGCACAATCTGCACACTTTCAGTCTCTACATGGATTCAATGTCCTAGTCTAGACATGACATTAAAACACTAATTCTGTAGGTGGATCCACAGGAGAAATAATGTTGTTAAAAAACATTAACGGGGGTGTTTTCTGGATCCTATATTGCTTTTGTGGCAGAAAACTGGTAGAAATTGATTTATCAAAAAGAAAATAAATCTATCAGAGGTCAATGGAAGTTTTTAATGATTTATGTTTACGTATGATCAATGCGTTTGTGACCTGCATGTACTGCGTATGTCAGAATAGATCTGTCATTGATAGGAGGCATTTTTGTTTGGAGCAAGCACACTAAAGGAGCTGTCACTGAATGAAGACAAAACACATTATACATACATAAAACATTTAATTATGTCACTTTGAAGTTGTGGAGACATTTTCACTGTGAGTAAACAGAGTGACCTGATTCTTCATATTAAACTAACCCTGACTGTGCTGACTGAATGCTAGTGAATGCTTCACTGCTCTTACTATCATGTCCTAGTGAGCACTGAGCGCCCTGGGTGAGTGATGCTTTGAATACAATAATAAGACACTGCTTTGAATTCACGGTCAGCCAAGTGCCAGAGTAAGCTCTGTTGCTCCAAGGGCCAATTTGCCACAGCACTTCATTCTTGAATGTTTCGCACAGAGAGGAAAATATGAGAAGAGTAATGTTGCCAAACTAGGGAGCTATGGGCTCTGCGTGCACAGTCTCCTGACAGGTTTGTATAATAAAGAAAAGGCTGAGACACATAAAATAAACTTCCATCATTACAGAGTTATGCTGCGCACAAAAGCACAAGGCCTTTATTTTAAATTCCAGCCATGCACGAGGCGTCTGTAATTTTCCATCTGATGTAACGGTGCATCATGCACCCATACAAAACAGGATATTTCATTTGAATATGTCACTCATTCCAAGTGTCATTCAGGCTGCTGTAACAAGCTGATACAGCATGTATATATGATGTAGTTGAACAACTTCGATTATTTGAGCAGAATATAAAAAAAGAGAGAGAGAAAGCGTTTAAGAGACAATTAAGGACAAGGGTTTAAAACACTGGCGATAGATGACAAAAACAAAGGGACAGGAAACAACAAGCAACAACAAAGCGTGACAAGAAATGAAATACCTTTCTGGGCTTTTCTGGGCTGGGAGGATCCTCTACAGCAGCCTCGATCTCACTGGCTGGGATCCAGGTATCGTAACTAAATGGAGAGAGGAGTCAAAGGTCAAGGCAATGGAGAGAGTACAAGCCTGGGCATGTAAAAGCATCTCAGGAGGACCAATGTGTAACTTAAGCTTGTAGAGTTCAGGGCAGTAAGAAGTGTGAAAAAATAAAAAAACTTCCCCAATAAGAGGAGGCAAGGCTTTTTAGTGTAAAGGTGTAGATTGTTAAATGGTGTTTAACAGCAGCTCCTTCAAAACTTGCTACATTTTTGTTTTAATCTGTATTTTTTCCGGCTTTGTTTCTGAAAACATAACTGGAGGATGTCTGATTGGGTTTGATTTAAAGGAGCGGAGCCAAATTGTTTAAATCAACTGGATTTAGAAGATTTTCTTTTTATGTGAAGATGAAACCATGTTATCATTGCTATCTTGTTGCTGCTGTGTATGTTCAACCAGACGCAAATTTAAAAGATGCACTGCTGAATTATTTCCTGGGTGTAATGCTATGTATACATCATAAATCTTTTATGTTATTCTATGAATTTGATTATCTTATTCTACGTGTGTAGCATGAAGGAACTACAAACTTCCACTTCATTATACAGCCTTGTGTTGTATAACGATGAATGAATTCCTTGATATCTCTGTAAACTCAGCACCAACCTGTCAGGAAAATATCCCCAGTGGAGCAGGACTTGCTTGTCTCTCTTCATCACAGGACGCACCCACTCCTCTGGACCGAAAAGAGAAAAGGATATCAGCACAAAACGAACCAGTGCATCAGAACTCACAATAGAAATAACTGTGCTGAAACAAAACACACCTTCCTCCAGGCTGGTGGGAATAGGAACAACAACATGGGAGCTGGCGGCCTTGTCCTCAGTTACTGAGCCCTGCAACAGATAAACTCCAATTAACATATGATCTGAAAGAAGATCACTTAATATCTTTGTTACAGTGGAGACAACATAAGGACACATGAGTTAAACTTGCAACATACATTTTTATTAATCGGTAAAACTGAGATTTTTTACAAAAACAAAAAACACACCTGATGTCTTTTGATGATGTCTTTCAGTTTCCCGAGCAGTTTTGGCTCTATGTCAGGGCTCAGGTAGATGACAGGTCTCGTTAGGCAGTTATTCTGAAATGAAGAAGTACAGCAGATGTGTAAGAGACAGAAATGAAGACATTTAAGTATATATATATATAGAAATATATATATCTCTCCTTATCTGAGGCCCCAACAACACAGACTACTGACTCTTATTTTAATGGAGATTATATGAAATAATTGTTCATATAGTATATGTATATATGTATATACTGTATATAAATATATACTTTATATTATGTCCATTCAAATAAGAGCTCAGTCAGTACTCTGTGTTGTTGAGCTCCTCAGATAAGGACTAATTAAGTAGGATTACTGGTGACTTGGTGCCCTTCATTATTTCTATCTGTAAAGCTCAGGCAGCTCTGATTCGCAGACGTTTCACAAATATGATGCAATCATAGGAAACATGCAACCTCTCACACAGAGAATATTCTTTTATTTAGCACTGGTTCCCGTTAGCAATTGTGGGAATGTTGTCATGGTATGCTGCTACACCTCACCACAAGTAGAACTTAAAACATTTACAATTGCATTTTGGCTGTCCAGGTAATGTGTGTAACAAACATGTATCAAGAAAATCCCAGAGGCAATCTCACCTGCACTAAAGACTTCTCAATCGTCATGAACATCTCCACATTTCGGTCCATCCTCGACGGATTCTGGAAGTCAAACCTGCGCCTACCAGGAAATTAGACTGGAGTTACACATGAAACGGCAACCTAGCCAAAATCCAACTGAGCACTGTAATTTTACATAACGCAATTTATTTTCAGTATTTAAAGCAGCTAGAAAGAAAGTCTTACCATCCTTGGTCACTCTTGAACTTGTAGGCAGCAGCCAGGATGTGGCAGAGAGCCCCTCCTGACTTAAAGTCCAGAAAACACTTCATCTGTAGACACAAAACAAAACAGTTTCAGCACGCCTCGGTGTGTGGGGGTCAAGGCATGTGCATGTGTGTGAATGTCAGCGACATAAAGGAGACATACTGGCAGCTTGGTAAGTGGAGGGTTGCTGACATGACGCCCAAACACCTCCTCCTGGAACTGGAGCAGCTGGACCACCAGGCTGGACAGAGACTTGTTGGTGGGGGGCTCAGCCTGGATGTACTGAGAGGACAACACAAAGTCAGAGCTGAGCCACAGAGAGGACACATTAAATTAAACTACAGTGTACTGGTAGGCGCTATGTGTGGTCACTTATATCAAAGACTGTGTGTGTGTGTGTGTGGTGTGTGTGTGGTGGGGGGGGGGGTATATTGATATGGGTTTAACATATTGTTCTTTTCATCATTATTATATAATGGGCCGTGTTTTGAATAACTAATGTAGTTATTTCCTTTAAATCAGTGTGTGTAAACGCCAGCCACACCGATCAGTGTTACTCCAGGCGGGCCATGGCTTCAGTCAGCGCCGCGCGCCACACAGCCAACATCTGGATCCGAGCCTGCATTACCGTTAGCCTATCAGCTACCAGCTGCGTGGCTGGCCGGCTAAAGTCACCCCTTTGGTAAAAAACCATCCCCGCGGGTCTGACTTGTGTGCTGCTTTTGAGTCTGTTTAGCTACAACCAACGTACAGGGGACACCGCCCATTCGCGGCTGCATCTGATGCAGCTGTTTGGCTCAGCATCCTTTTGTATCCCGCTCGAGTGAGTCAAACAGCTGGACGTTCAGCGGCACCCTCCCTCCTCTCTTTGTCACTGCCTCTGCCCAATAGGTAAGTGCCCACATTTCAGGGTGTAAAATGGAAGCTTGCTGTGTATGGTAACAAAACATGCGGTCGGTACCTTTTTGTAATTCTTTCCCAGCCAGACGCGGACATTATCAAACTGAGAAACCGTATCAGACGCTTCGAAATATTTTACATTCGGGCCGCCGTCTTTCTTCCGTACCGCCATCTTTGCCTGCAGACAACTAGTCGACGTCGCCTGCCGCCCAGCGACCAAAGTCAGGTACTACAACTCAGGGGCTGTAATGACAATCAATGCACAGCAGGTGGCGCTGTTGTGTAGAGAGAAAGAGTTTCAAAATGTTTCTTTATAGCGTGAGAGATTTGAAAAACACCAGATTATTTTGAAACGAACATTAAAATAAAAGTTTCCAGTAAAAAGTCTTGTGTTACCAACTAGAATGTTCGTCAAGTGTTCAAGAGTAGAGAGCAAGATCACTTGATCATACAGAATTGCTACTGTAATTATATTATTATATTATTATATTGTTATATTATTATATTATCATATTATTATATTATTATATTATCTGCTTTATGTACTACTGGGCAGTATAATCTATATAAAATCTTAACTCAACAGGAAACTAGTACCATCAGATAATTGTAGTGGAGTACAAAAAATAAAATAAAATAATAAAAGTAAAGTGTAAATACTTAAAACTGCGCTTTACTTCCACTTCCACCATTCATGCACACACATGGTAGTGCAGTATGGGCCGAGATGGTAGCAGCACTAAAGAATTAAACAGAACTAAATCTGTTCTCCAAACCTTCTCACATGCAATCATCACATTTTTAAACCAGCTGTTGTTCTTATATCCACTGTGGGTGAGCAACTGGGTGGTGAGTGGTGTTTTGTCTCCACATGCACTTCTAGATAACAAGAGACAACATATTTGTCATGTTTTCCAACTCACTCGGTTTAGTGTTCATTACTAACGGCATTCAGATCCTGTTACGTATGAGTTTAATCCTGTATGACAGGCTGGATGTTTTACTTATTTACTTCACTACAGTATGTGTTGTGAAAAAGCAGCTTGTGAGTACAATCTTTAGGAGCCAAACAAACATTATATTGGATCACACTATCCATAATTACACTCTTACAGTTAATATTCTTTTTTATTTCTATCCACACACAGGATCCGAGGTCCCGGAGACAAAGAGGTTTCAGAGCATCAACACCTCTGACCCTGTTCATGCCTCTCTGAATGAACATACGAGCATTATTACCAACGGACTGATACAATTAAACCACTAGATGCCACTAAATCCTACACACTTTATCTCCTATTCTTACTTTTTATACTTTTTTTGTAATATCTTTATTAGGGGCACCCAGGTACAGGTATTAGTCCGGCATCTATTCATTGTCCAGCTTTCTAAGTATGTTTTATTTAATACAAAATATACTAATATACTTTGGCATGGTGAGGAACCACAAAAGAAAATTTATCCTGTATATTTATAGAGCTGTAAAAGGGAAAGGCCAAAACTGTGAAATAAATTAATATTAATAAATAAAAATATTGGTTATTTTTGCTTATTATTCATAGTTATAACTGTCAATAGTAACAATAACACATGTATTAAAGAGGCACAAATAAGACAACAGAAGAAACAAGACATAAACAGAGTTGCATCTTTTTAATCAACTGATATATAGTCTCTCTACAATAACAATTACTTTGTGAGAGATGTAATGATTGATAAGACAATATGGGAAGAAACTTTTACATCCCACATCCATTAATCTGATAACGTATTTTTTATCACACCAGGGTGAAGCCTCGCTTCCTGCGAGCAGGTTGTTCAGCAGCTTCGGTGCATTTTGTGTGGCCACAGCCGCACTCCTCCACGTACATGTAAGTGTAGGTAATCAAATCTCCATTCATGCAGCGCAAGTTAACAGTGCGATTGCTGGAGCGCATTTCCTTACAGCAGGAGCAAGAATGCTGCATAGTAGCCATGTCAGCTGAGTACCTAAAGAAAAGCAGAGGAAGGTTGATTAATAAACTAAACATCTGCACAAACTACACCTAAAGATTTTTACATTTCCAAATTTCAGTGGATGTGTGACTTTCCAGAGGGATGACAAATGTTCATAATATCATCCTTACTTGGTGAAAGTGTTGCAGGATCCTTCACAGTATGGCATATCGACCTCCTGGTCAGACTTACAGTCCTTGAGCGTAACAAAGGTTTTCATGTATTCTAACTTACATGCCTTCTCCTTCTCCACACCTTTTCAAAAGAGACACACAATTAGCTTATTTTAATTTAAGTACCTTCGACCTAAAAATAAAATGAAATGTCAAACGTACTTACAAATTTTACAACAGCCATTTGCGCTGGTCTGAATTGTGTCCTAAGAAGGAAAATATACAACATTTCAAACTTCTTTCAAAAGGGATGATGAATTCTGCTCTGTATTGCAAAAAATGAATAACCCACATTTGTTTAGTCACCACATTCATATATTGAAAGTGATACTTACAGGCTGGCAGTTGCTCTCCTGGAATAGCGGGCAGAAAACGTTTGAAACTCTGACAGTGAGGGTCCCACTGATCTTAACACAGGTGTACTTTTCACACTTATTCTCAGGTGGTGACCAGGTATGTCCTGTCTAGAGAGCAGTGAGGTGGATTTACACACACGCAATACTGAGATACTTTAGGCCATTAAAACATGAACAAGTGTAGCAACAGCCAGCAGAGATGATCCAACTTACCTCCAAGAGCTCCTTGGTACCATTGACACTGAGGACGCAGTGTGTCTGTACACACTTCCCACAGCATTCGTCTTTATCAGTTTTCACATATTGATATCCCTAAGAGAGAGAGAGAGAGAGAGAGAGAGAAAGAGGGTAGTTTAGTTGCCAGTTGCAGTAAACATATTCTGCTGAAAACAAGTTGCATTATATGTATAGTGTATATGTGAATAAAGTGATTTTACTCACCTTTTCACAATCAGTTTCACATTGCTGCAATTTACAGAGTACTTCAAATAGTTGAAACTTTGGGTCCATGTTTCCGGTACAGATGCAGTTCTCACACCTATTCCCAGGAACTGAAGAACCAAGCTAGGAAATGCAAAGAAGATGTGTTCATATTTGTGTTTTAGCCATTCAAAAGGGTACCAGAAATCATAAAAATATAAAAGGAATGTGTTTTACCTGGTATTCAACATCATCGTGGACACAAACTCTTTTAGGCTCTAGAAAAGAGACATGACGACAACGATGGATATCAAGAAAAAGTCGCTGTGGTTATTATTTTCACATTAATTCAAACCGAATTAACAAGCTCACCACATATATGTTCTGGACAGCACTTCCCCTCAGGAGTACTGACAATTGGTATTTTTCCAGTTGGACATTTCATGTAGGTTTCTGGGCAAGTCTTGGAGTCACATTCTTTGGAGATGACATTAATAGTTATTATTTTAGAGCCATGGTCAAAATCAGTAAAAAGTTAAAAGTAATCTGAAAATGTTAAAACACAAATTTGCATTGTCTTGTCTTACGGCAAACAAGGGTAGAACAGCAGCAGTTTGCTGGATCTGTTTGGTTTACAAGGACAAATCCTGGACCAAAGCAGTTAGTTACGGTTGGTGCTGGGCACACCTTCGGCTCGCAAGTCACACTCTTGGTGGACTCCTCACAGACACAGCGTTGGCAATTGTACTCAAATTTTTCATTGAACTGAAAGAATAAACCACAGTAGTGACTTCATTGTGTCTTGTAAGTAAACAACACAGGTATTAATTTAACTGAGCATGAAGAGAAGACTTGGCTCACCTCACGAGGAACGCCGTCAGGATCAAGACATCCTGTTGGAACACAAGTATCATTTTAGGACTTCATGACTAACATACTGACCAACCTGCTTGCTGATTAATACATTGCACTGCAGTGGCCTAGTCAAAGTGAACAGCTTTACTGACTGTTTGCTTGATCACCCCCTCAGACAGACTAAAGTGGCCTGTGTAAATGTGGCTTTTCTGTTCTCTAAACAAAAATCCAAAAGTGGTTATAACAAAGGCTCTCAGACAAAACATAATATCAACACTTTTGACTGACCTTAAGAGAATTCATGTGAAAGTGCTGACATTAGTTTTCAGAATTAGTTTTGGGGTTTTTACAGGTTATTAAATGAACAAACTTGTAATCTATGATGTCTTATATTGTTATCAGATGGAATAAATACTTTTTTGTTTGTGATCAGAAAACGTGCAGAGAGTTTTGTTTTAGATGGATCATGAGGATGTTATGGAAAATTAATCAAAATGATATTAACTTCATGGAGTAGTTCAAGTTTATTGTTGGACCAGCTGAGAACAGCACAGCCAAGTAAAGCTAATTTGGTGATTTGCAAGTGCAAACAAATTTAAACTTAATATTCAATTCTTTACATATTTTACAGGATTTTCTGGATATATATATCTTGGCAAACGTTATTAGGTGGGTTTAAAAGTGAAATCTCACCACAGTAAATGCAGCTTTTTTACATTATATTACATCAGTCATGGTGCACCGATGGAGCTCAATTTTTTAAAGATAAATTTATATCTTATAGCTCTTCTGGACGTCTTTTGAGAATTATTTTCCTCTTGGCTAGGGCTGCACTATATGGTAAAAACATAATACTGCAATTATATTGAAAGATATTGTGATTAAAATATGGTTCACAAATAATGGGGAATGGATCATTTTTGCATCAAAATTTAATTTTCACTAAAAAAAGACTATTAACACTATGACGATGTGAAATATTTTCAGCGCATCTCTGCAGAACTACAACACTATGACACATATTTTACCAAATCAATGAAAAACTATTTTCTATTAAAAATACTGGTTCTGAGGATATAAAGAAATAATGGTTAAAAAATAGAAAACTCCAGGTTCACAAACTTTCAAGCAGCAATGTAAATATATAGAGGAGCAGGGGACAACATTTCCACTGAACTGTACCCTTTTCAATCTATATTCCAGATGGGAGCTATACAGCCATTTCTACGTGACTGTAGTTCTATAGATTCAGCTAAATATATGACTTGAGGAAACACACTTACCACACGTTTTAACACATATGTCAGACTCTTTGGTGAAGAGTTTCATTCCCTCAGGACAAAAGCAACCCTCAGTAGTGAAGTTCATGGTGAGCTCGTAAGGACTGTAATATTTAAACATTAAGAAAGAACATTAATGTTACTCTTTCAGACCTAATAAACACAGTTATTTTTATAACAACAATAATAAAAAAACATTATTATCGTATTATTTTCAGTTGAAGTGCTTTCCAGTGGGACAGCATAAAAAGACAATCACACATAAATACACAATAGACACAATTACATATAAAACCATCTGTGAGGTAGCAGCCATTGAATAATAAAAAAAATCTAGATGCATAACTATTTATTTAGTTTGTTTAAAGGCATGATTTAAAAGCTGAGTCAGTGTCAAGAGACAGAATACAAAGACTGGAAGAATGTTCTAGTGCTGAGGCAACAGTACAACCAAAGGTGGATCACCCTTTGACTTTAACCTGGACTCAGGTAATCCAGCAGATCCTGCAGGCTATTTGATGCACTAAGGAGTTCCACTGATTTACTCTGGCGTCTGGCAATGTAAAGCCGTGTAGATGTATTCGTTGTACCAATTCTGAAAGAATTTTCATAACAAACTGTTGTTGAAACTGGCGTTATTGAGAAGGGTGTTTGGTCTTAGTCTGGATGCAGAGTTCTGCACATGTTAAGTTATAATTGATCGGGTCAACAATGTTTATTCACTAAAATAATATATGTATGTATCATCAATATTGTGATAACTTCCATTTAACCAAACAATACACTTAACACATTTTATTAAATCCAAAGTCTTCACTTCATATATTATACGAGTCTGGACAGACATGGATGTAAATTGCAACTTGACTTAATTCCAGTTTAATATTAAAGTAAGTGCACAACATATTTGGAACAAACATTTGATTATCTTATACTGTACTGTACTGTAACGTTTACTCTTCTTTTTTTATTTTCTATTTAACTATTTTTAATTGTATATAAATGTATTTTTTTATTGCCTTAGGTTGCTTTAACATTTTGTCTTGATGCCTTGTATGTTTTATGTAAAGCACTTTGAATTGCCTTGTTGTTGAAATGGACTATACAAATAAACTTAACCTTTCTTCGCCTATAAAGTTAATTTAAATATGAAATTATATTGTCAAAGCTAAATGACATTAGCTATATAAACTAACTGTTAACTATCTAAGGTTAACATTACTCTTGACTAAAAGTACACAGATTAACAGTTTAACCAATCTATTGTCCTCTCTTAGCCTGGGATACATGTCTATTTCCTAAAAAAAAAAAAAAGATAAAAAAAAGGAAATGCTCCTTAGCCCAGACCGTCTTATTTGTTTCAGCCTTTTCTAAGTCCTTTGAAACAAATTGAAATTGAGACTCAGGAATAAAGGGACCAAGTAGTGGTTGAATCTGAACAGAGATGTTTTCCAGGCAGTGATTAGGAACTCTGCTTTGTCAGAGTTTAACCGCCTGCTTCAGAGGGTTTTGACAGAGAATTATAACATTGTGTTGTCTAGGACATAATGGCTGCATACACAATGAACAAAACTGGTCCCAGAACTGATCTTTAAGGTATATAATATATTATCTCTACAGTTGAAGAAATTAATAGATAAACTGAAAGATAAAATTTTCTGGGTGATGGATATGAGAAGAACCACTCTGGGTCCGTTCTCGAAATACTTTGAAATTTAGTAGTAAGTGAACCAGTGAAATTACAGAATTTTTACATTTTTACAAACAATTACATGAATGAATCATGATTCTCTATACCCAATTCAAAACCAAGGTTAAAATTAGGGAAGTCCCGATCACGTTTTTTTGCCCCCCATACATTTAATATTGAGTATCTGCTGATACCCATTCTCAATCTAGATAATACAGGTGAAAACTCTGCAATACATTAGGTAAAAAATTGCCTGCATCCAAGCTGTTCCTTTTTTATATTTAACCTAATGACAAAGTCTCTAAATCTCTCTAATCTTTTTTGATCGCTGTCTGAGTTAGGGTCGGGGATAGCTCTTAGGAGTTAACTGAATTAACCGTATTCTGCTGAATGTTTATTTTCCTCATCTGTACATCTTTTGTGCAGATTACATTAATTAGTCTTGTTGGATTTTTGTTCACAGGGCCTTTTTTGCAGTGCCGTGGTGAGTGTGAGGCTCTTCACCACTTTCTTGGCTGTGTTTCACTGCCGGACCAATATACTGTATTCTACAATAATTACAACTCTCCAGTGCTGTCATTACGTATTATGATCCTAGATGAAGGAAATGCTTATTTACACAATGAAACTTAAAATCAATACGCTTCATTTTCATTAAAACTTACTTGTCTTCACAGGTTGGCTGTTCTGCAGGACCACATGGCTTGTACATTTTTTTTGATGGGCAGTCAGTCACTATTGGTAAGAAAATACCTCAATATAAATGTTAGAATTTTACACATTTCCTACATACTGTATATAATAAAATGTATTAATAGGTGTGCTAAATGCAACAGATCAAAGAAATTAGTTACCTCACTGATCCCAACATTTAATGTAAAATAATAAGCTTACCACACTCTTTGGTGTAGTTCCTCCAGTTAACACAAACTCCTGCCTTAGCACAGGCAGCAGCATAAGTCTGCAAACTTGTGCACTCCACTGTTCGGTTGGAAATGTGGCAACTATCAAAAACACAAGCTTGGTAGAATTTGTCAGGAGCCACAAAGGGATGGCATTCTGCAAAGACGCTGTGAAAAAAATAAAAATAAAACATCTGTTTAAAATGTGTTTAAAACACTGATAATGCTAGGGCAAAAGTGTGAACTGTATTTTAACTTCTCTATATTAAGGTTATAAGGATAAATATGAACTACTACAGTGGATTAGAGAATGTCTACCTGCTTTGAAGAAGATTACACACAGGGCCTGGCTTGCATGTTGGAGTTACAGTTACATTGGGAGGTTTGCAGTCTCCTACAGGCCAGAAGTTAGCCATCACAGGACAACTTTGCGCCAGTTTGCCATTAGGCAACATGCAATCATCAGTCTGGTTGTTGTTGCATGTTCCTGACAATAGAGTCACACAGATAATACAACACTATTAGGTTGTAAACTTTAGCATATTTACCATATGGTTATTAGAGAGAGAGATGTTCTTACCACAATGGCCCCGTGTGTTATTGCCAAAGTGTTCAAAGGGAAGGGTGACACTGAAGCCAGTTATTCCAAAAGTAATCACCACTTTTAGGTGAGGGATCTCCAAAATCATTGTAAGGCTAGTACTCATAATTTTAACAGCTTGTTGTGAATAAGGTAGTTTCAAACTTTCTCCATCTTTGAATACCTACAGGGAAAAAATAAATACACAATGTGACAAGAGAAAAATACAATACTCTGAAACAACACGGGTAAATTACAATTATTCCATGGAAATGGAGCCTATACATTGACAGTAATAATATTCTCTAGTTTATGAAGAGAGTTTTCTGAAACATAGAATAACACTTTCACATAGCCCCATCTTGTTTTACCTCCAACTTTGGCGGTCCAATGACATCATGATTCTTCAGTTTGAAAGCTTGCGATTTATAGTGTACATTTATAGATCGAGGACAGGAAACATCTTCATCAATATCACAGTAGACGTTGTCAATATAAATCGTCAGGTTATATTTTGGTGAAATCTCTTTCATCAAGACATAAGTACAGTTCCCTTGATAAGTGTAGTAGAATCCATCAAATGTGATGTAATGTGGATCTCCCCAGCCTTCACATACACCTGAAGAGAAACAAAAAAACTGTGAGTTTTAATCAAAGGTTGCATTAAAAATATGAGTAATTGACTGCCACACATTATTTTAGCAACAGAAAAACTTACAGTCACAAACATAATGTTGGCAGCAGTGGTACTCATCGTACACAAGAACTGGTTTAATTCCATTGGCACAACTGATTTTCTCAATGGTAGGGCATTCACGGCGAAATGTTACAATGTCATTGTTCTTAATGCATTTGGCCATTGTGCAGTTGTACAGATGAAATGTTTCATTTTGCTGATGTGGAGCAAATAAAGGGAGAATCATTATTTTTCAAACAATTCAACACAACCTGTTAGTATGAATTAGAAAGTATCAAAAAGAAAATAATGTAAAACTATGTGCTAGGTATATGAATAGTCTTACCACTTTACCCCAGTCAGGGCAAGTGGGCGTTGGGTGTTGAGTAGTACTAGCAGCTTCAGTTGGTGTTGTAGACCTTGTGGTTGTAGTTGGCGTTTCAGGAGTAGTAGTGGGTTCAGTTGGTGGTGTTGTAGACCTTGTGGTTGT